CACACACACACACACACACACTCACACTCACTTAGCTATCCTTGCCAGTCTTTGGGAGTCGCTTTTTGAACTTTAGGCCCCAGGCTCGCTGTTTCTGTGCCCACTGTGGGTCTGGCTTACACTGCAGACAAATATGCCTGAGGGGATCATGTGTCAGTGTGTGTGTGTGCTTCTGAATGTATAATGAAAGCTGCTATTGATGGTGAAAAAGAGCGCTGCCGAAACAAGCGCTCCATCCAAATCCCACAAACAGAACGTGGGGATGAAAGCTTTTCTGCAGACATCTGGCACTGCTGTTTATACAGGTGGCACTTACCCTACCTCAGGTCACTCACACTTACACGTTGAGTGTTTACATGTAGACACGTGCGGTGCGAGCGTACACCCTGAGCCACCCTCAACTTCATAATTCCAGTCTGTTCATTCGCTGGCTGTTAAGCAGCTCCTCTCGGCCATAGCTATTCTCTTACGGTTCTTCCTTGCAACCTGAGGTTTCATTGCGTGGTGCAGATTGGCCTCAACCTAAGGCCAGCACAGTGAAAAGACTTTTTGACTCATATCTGTGGTTTTGTGTTTGTTCCATTAAAAAAAAATCTGCAGCACTGTGCCAGCATGCACAGAGATTTTTTTTCATATATTGGTTGTTTATCTGCACAAAACCCACAGAAATGTTGTCACTTTTTACCCCAGCTTGAGGTTTTGGTCTGTTTACCCACCCTCAAAATGCAAAAAGTGTTCTACCTCCTTCCCTTTGCCTTATTTTGTCTCATTTTTTTTCTATTTTTTCCCTACTGCCTATCTAACTCTTACTTCAGCACTACCACGACTTACCAAAAATACTTGTCTGCTTTGTTTCCAGCAGGCAGGCAGATAAACAAACCCCAGGATGAGGAGCCTTCTTCGTCTTCTGGCACTCTGTGCTGCAGTCTCTCTCTGCGTCTGCTATGGTATAGATCCTCCCAGACGCCCTCACTTTGCTATCGCTCGGCAGCCATTATTTATTCATAACCTGCAATATAACAAAATGTAATAAGACATTCATCATTTATGACTAACCTGATTCCATGTTTTTCCCGTAGAGTCTCATGAAAGCACAGAATCCACTGAAGGTGACTGAAATGTTGTTTCTCGGTTCTGGAAAAACATGCATGCCATTATAACAAATGTGATGTATTTAATCCTCATTTAGTCTTTACTAACATGCCCTCAGCCCTTGTTTCACCTGATCTGCTGCATGACCGGCATGCCAGATGCTGATTGAAATCAAATTTTCCCACTAGTAAAGTTTTGTGGTTTCAGATTTGTTTGTGCCTCCAAACCGAGCCAACTCATTCATCCCACCACAGAGAGGCAACATATACATCCCATCCAGAGGGAATGGCTTCGGCAGTTACAACTTCAGGAGGTAAAACCTAAAACCATGGGCAGGCATGCAATGCAGAGCACTTTATCTCCTGCATGTTTAAAACCACAAACCCACAGAAAATGCATGCTTGCCATACATATACGGCACTGTGCCTCATTAAGACAAAGCCTAATTGGACCATTAAACATCTACATGTGCTTCAAGAATCCACAGACACAAACACAGAGCCTGGAGTGCAGGATAAAAGAGAATTATTAAATTCATTTCTGTTTAGAGTTCCTCTACTTTTCTTCATTTTGAAAACCTTCTTGTTTTAATTCCCAGGACATTCAAGTCTCCAGCAGAAAGACGCGCAGAGATCTGCGAGGACTACTCCCCCTGCCGCTTCTATGCCTATCACCACGGTGCCCAGCAGGCCTACAACAGATACTTTGGCGCTAGAAGTCAACCACGGCGGCCTGCTGTGACTCGCCGATACTAAGCTGGACCTCACATGCAAAAGTCTCATTATCATCTGGTCCTTTAGTCCACATATCATCAGTTTTTAGATAATTTATGTAATTGTTTTTGTGGGCTCTTTTGGCAAGAAAACTGTTTTTTATATATAAACACCAGAACTTCCAGTCAATGTGGCTCAAATCACACAGCAGCCCATCATTATATTCATGTAGAAATTTACAGCCTGTTTCTTGTGTAATCTCAGGATGACTTTTATCAAGTATCACTGCATGATCCCAGCATTTATGAGCTTTACGGGATATGCTCGAGTGAAGCGTTTGGCTCACTTTCCGCTAACCATTTCTTACAATCTCCACTTACTTATGCTGTCAATAAACAAATATAATGACTTTTAATGGGTTTGGTCTTAATCCTGTTTTTGCAATTTGCTTGCCACATGAGTTTGTGAGAACTTTGGGGATTCTCAGTGTTTTTCAATATATGCCAGATGTTATATGTAATATAACAATATTTGGGAGTGCTTAAGAACCATTAGGAAAGTTAAATACGGCCTTGTGCATAAATATGAGACACATTACAAGAATCAGAATACTTTATTAATCCCCAAGGAAATTATATAAATGTAAGAAGCCCACTTTAACACAAACAGTCTATAAATACTGGAAACCACTTGGTTATTCTAGTGTTTATCACATGGTTTAGAATTCAAATGTAAATCTGGTGAGTGCTTCTATAAAACAAAGTACAGTAATGTAGTGCAGCAGAAGTACATAGTGCAGTAAAATGGGAAGAAATCAAGTACAAGTATCTAAAAAGCTCTACAGAACCTGATTGAATGTGTTGTTACACAACTGACGTGTTGAGGAGTTACATTATGATTTCAGTATGCACTGTCGGTGTCTGGTCTCTTGCAGTCTTGAGAAGAATGTACTGCACATGTGCAGACAGACACAAGGACAGCTCAGCACATGGCAGATGTCAAAATGCTGTAGAAGTAAAATGACAGTTATACTGGATGTTTGTCTGTCTGTGCTGCCACATGGCCACGAAAGTGTATAATTATAATTGTCCTGAGGGTAAATTCTTGTAGTCTGTCACTGAAACGAGACAAAAGGCACCAGCATTGACCCAGACTGTGAAATTACAACCCATATGCTCTACTACTGTCCGGACCGGTCCAGCTTCGAAATCTCTAGTTAGAAATAGCAACAAAGGGCATCCATGTCACAAAGTGAACTTAAAAGGCTCAGTTTTGAAAATAAAAATGATATGTTTGTGTTACTGGGACAGTATTCAGTAGAGCATTGACATTATGATTTCTAGTACACCATTAAACTACCATGTGATCGCTAACCTTGGAGGTAATCCAGGGTACCACGACTAGATCTCTTAAAACAGCTGTTACAGCTGGAGGCACGATATGGTCCTTACAAAAATGTGCAAGTGGACACAGACAGCCTACAGAGGGTCAAAGGCAAGAAACAACAGGTCAATGTCGTCCTTTCTAAACTTGTGACTGGAAAAATGCAAGTTGACCTGAGGAGGACAGAAAGACCTCTGTGACCTTCCTCTGATTAAACTTGATTCTACGGTCCTGAAGCACAAAAAAATCTTAATAACTGAACTTGAAATGACCTGGGAGGGCGGGTTAGTTATCTCTCACCACCTGAAGAAAGCCAAATACCAAGATTTGATCAACAAGGCTCTAGTTCACGAATGGAAAACAGCTGCCATTGTTTCCAAGGATGTGAAAAACAACCACATTGCTGATAAGTTACTGAAGTGCAAGCTGCGTTTAATTTTTCAGTTAAATTCAGTCAACTACTATCATTTCTGCAGCAGTCGTGGTGAGACTGAGGAGGACATTGAGTGGATGGATGCAAGTCACTCTCCTCTTTCTCTCTACCTCCTAAGACATGTGGTCTACTTTTGTAACTGTGGTCTCTGTGAGTGTACTTTGTGTGCATGTTTGTAATTATGCATTGCAAGTGTTAGTGGAAACACATTTTCTTTTTCAGTTTTATGTAATAGCAAAGTGACTTGACTCAAATGTCCCCTGTCAAAGCCGTTTTCCTATCCACATCACCTGGTCTGGTGCCAACGCAAGTTTTCCAGGTACAACTTTCCTGAAGGTTCTAGGTAGTGAACTGTTTAGCAAGGTACACCAACAGCTGAACACAGTCAGCAGTTAACAAGCCAGCACAGCTGAGACCAGTTAAAGAAGGCTATGTTTGCCTATGTTAAAGCTGGAGGCTAATTTGATGTAGGATTTTTGGTTCTGCACTCGTGTTGCAGAGCACATAATTTTGGTGAGCAAACAATGCCAAGTGCTTGCATGCAATAATCTGACAAAACTAACAGTGCATAACATCTGTGTAGGTTCTCAGTGATTCCAGTCATGGTACCCAGCATGTTCAAATCCCAGCAGTTCCTCAGATGCTAAGCAAACGCTCATTGTGGTTTCACCCTTGACCCCTGGTGAGGACCCATACCTTGTTTTTGGTTTGGTTGCCTTCTTTTTTTCACACCTTAGAACAAAACACAGCCAAGTTGTGATGATGCTATGTGTAGGATGAATATTTATTGAAAGTTTAGTTAAACTGGAGTGGTATATCACCACAAAGAGGAAGACATGCAGAACATTAAAAAAAAAAAGCAGTGTGAGAAACATAGACGATGCCTACAGCAGACAGATTGATTTGAACACTTTTTCACTTGACTTTCACCTCTTACAGGTTAAGCCACATATTTTTCACACTGCCTCCTAGTGACTGTACAGAGCTACAGCATGTAGATCTGCTCTGCAAAGCTATGATAGCACCAACCCACAACTATAACCCTGGTATATGAGGATCCCCCAACAGTGTGAATGTTCTGGCCACCCTGCTAATATCGTATGACATCAAGAGAGGAGCTGCCGAACCACAGGTAATCCTGCAGTGTCTGCTTGAAACAAAAGATGTTTGATGTGTACCCCACAAAAGGATTACATTTTAGGAGTGGCATGAGAGTATTAGGCACTTTGCTTGTGGGAAGTCGTGTTTTCATTAAAAATCAAACGACATGTTCCACTCGACATCATGCAGCTTTCCTCTGCTTAACTGTCGAACCACCCACTTGTTGTGGTAAAAATATCTGTGCACATTTAAATGGCCCGTCTACAAAGCTTCAAACAAACATGGTTGTTTCTAAATGTTGCTTTCTCTATGTAGGAAATCACTGTGGTTTGCAATAAAAAGAAAGCCCTCAGATTAAAATAATGCAGCATAATGTGGGACAGTGGTTTTTCCTTTTTAGTGAGTAAGCCATGGTTTTTCTCTGCCTCATGCACTTACTGAACTAAATGTACAAGTGTGTGGGTGCTTTAAAAGTCTGACCTGTCCGAGCTGCTTTCCTGAAAGAGTTCATTAAATTTTATATTACTACCACTACGTATGATGAGATATCGGTGACAGTGATTTGATTTCATTCTTTCTGTTTTTTGTCTGCTTTTTGTTTGTTTTTTATTTTAACAGAGATGACTGCAAATTTTGCAAAGATGAGGAAAAGGAAACTGTGATTCTTAACACAAATCTGGTAAGTAGGTCAAATGAAGCTGTAAAATAATGTTGACTGAAAGATCCTTCGAGTGGCATATATTTGTGGCTCCTCACCTATGCTTTAAAACATTGCCCACCTTTTGGACCCCTTATTCTGCAACGCTGTGAGTGTGGATGCCTTTTTCTGTCTTTCTTTTTTTAGACATACATATATATATATACTTCATTTTTGCAGAGGTGTGTATTTCTGCATCTGTGTGGGTGTGTGATACATGATTCCCTAACCAATCACATATCCATGTCACACAAGGGCTACATCTATAAACCGAGTGTGTTTTTACATATATATGTCTAAGAGAAGGAAAGACGGAGAGAGTGAGTGATACAGCTCGGGCCATTTTCCCTTAAACTGAAGGCTGAAAAAGAAAGAAAAGATGAAGACCGTGGCTATCCTGGCTCTCTGCTTCTTGGTAGTTATCTGTGTCGCTTCGGGTAAGAGCTGTAGCAATATTTGCAATGTAATTTTTTAACCTTAAACCTTTAAACTAAATTAGTTTTTTAAAGTTAGTCTGTTCTTATTTTTCCCCTTCTGTTTGATAGATGCTGCCACCGACCCTCAGCCTGCTGGTGACAACCCTGCTGAGGAGGGTATGATTAATATTAGTTTATTCGTCCAGAGTTTAATGGAGAAGGGGTTCGAACTTTCAGGCACTGCATGAGTGAAATGATATACCAAGAATGATGAATGATGAATGACTTTTTGCAAAAAAATTTCTATACTCTTGTTTTTTGTTGTTTGTTGTTTTTTCTCTATGACTTTTTTTGTTTTTATGCTATACTGATCTTTAAAAAAAAATAAAAATTTCATAAACAACAGCAGGTTGACAGATGTCTTATGACTGTGATGTGCAGGTTTGTTTGTGGAGAGGGAGCAGGCCTCCACGGTGGTGAGGCAGAAGAGAGCTGCTGGACAGTTATCCTTGGTACAGCTGGAGAGGTATCTCACACCTTATCTACAAACCTTATTGCTGCATGTTTTTAGACATGTTCTTATCTTTAATAGGGTTGGGTTGGATATGGAAAGTTTTCATGAAGGTATGAAACATCATAAGTAACCGTGTGTGTCCTCTCTCCTCCATTCAGCCTGAGAGAAGTGTGTGAGGCCAATGTGGCTTGTGAGCACATGATGGACATAAACGGCATCATTGCCGCCTACACTGCCTACTATGGACCAATCCCCTATTAGAGGCTACAGCTGACTGCGCACCAGAGCTGCCTTTTTTCTTGCATTGCCACCTCTGAGCTCGGCTTTTCTTTGTCTAAAAGTGGGGCAGACGGCTCAGACTGGAAGAAACCAAACACCAGCAGGTGGATTTACTTTCTTTCCTAACTGCACCTTCAAGAATATCTCTGTAATTCTGTCATTTTTCTCCGCCTGTAGAGTTGAAACGGAATAAAAATGAATATCATTCTGCTGTGTGTGCTGTTTTCTAAAGCCTTATTTGTTGTATTGGATTAGGAATCATTCACGTAACTCATGTCAGTGCGCCCCAGGGTGGCTGTGGCTACAATGTAGCTTGCCATCACCAGTGTGTGAATGTGTGTGTGAATGGGTGGATGACTGGATATGTAAAGCGCTATATAAATACAGGCCATTTACCATTTATGAAGCAGATTTGACAAGTTTTAGCCACTAGATGTCCCTATTAGGCTATATTATATGTAAGGCTAATGAACCTTTATCATCTCTATAATATAACATTGCAGTTCTTTTAAGGTATTTAGTTTGCTTTTTTTTTTTTTAAAGAATACTTTTAGTGATTACAGTTTGCAGTAACTTTAAAAATCACATTTCTCAGACTAAAGTGATCCAGTCCTACTCCTTTATCAAAAGGGTATTCCTACATATCAGTGACCACGGTAAACAGGGCCTGAGAGTGCACAGAAATGTGGTTCATGATTTATTTAAACATTTTCACACAAAAGAAAATCACTGAAACTCTGAAGCTTTTGTGCCATGTGATTCCCCGTCTGTTTGTTTCCTTTGATAGATCTGTGCATTCCCGACATCATCCCGGCAGCACCGGGGTGTCCAGTCGGACGGGTCTATTGTGCATCATGATGTAATTTCTTCCTTTGTATTCCGGTAGTTCGCTTGTTTTCTTCTTGGTGTTTATGTTTGGCTGTGCAGAAAGCAAGCGATGACAGAGATAGTACAGTTAACATAGCTGAGACAAGGTGCACAGAATGAGTTGTCTATATGCCACAAATCATAAATAAAACCGAGACAAGCAGAAAAACAAATCATAGACAATGTGTGAATGTGTACGCACGTGAATATGTTTGTGAATGTTCGACTCTGTGGTACCTTCGTTCTGCTTCTGTTTCTTACTTTTTGACCAGTTTCTCTATTAATACAAAGAAAAATCCATCAGGTTGATGCGAGATGAGATGAACCTAAACAGATGTATGGTTAGTGATGCCGTACCGTAGTTTTAAAAGTTTTAAAAACCACCACCATGCTGCTTCTTTCTGTTTTGCATTGTTACATTTAGAGGTGTTTAATCACAGCTGACTTATTATTTAACCTGCACAGAGGAGCATTTAGGTATTTTGTTTTTCGAATCAGGTGGCTGACTAAACAAGTTTCCCAACATGTTTGTCTTTGAAACTTAGATCGTAGATTACATTATTGTGTTGTTAAAGTGTTGTGTTGTTAAAGAAAAAAAAGTTTTTGCAGTTTGCTGGTCTGGAGCTCTGGAGTGGAGATCCCAGCAAATTCCCACCAAGGTCAGAAAGTGCAAAAATGGAACAAACCCATGATCTACATTTCAGTAGAGTACAGTTGTGACAGTAGAAGAGGAAAAAGGACTGAACAAATATGACTTGTCTGCATTTTGATTTTGTTTTTATTATGTCATATGTCACTGTTACAGTTCTTTTTTTTAAACAATGTGATATGTAAAACTTTAGACTCGAAAGAGGACATACTTTCTTCTTTCACATGACAGCATAGATATATTTACCACATTTTCATGGGAGCAGTAAAGAAAAAAAAGCAAAAACAAACGTTTCCAGTCATATAGCTACTTCACCGTTTACTGTTGTAAAATGTTTTATTCATTCGATAATAAATAGGTCATCTTTTACTTCCTGTCAGTCCAGAGCAACTTACTGGCAATGTTACTGGCATTTGTTTTCCCTCATTAAGATATGCACATGCCAACAGGACTTTGCAGCAGTGTGTTTATTTTTAAATGAACCAGCTGAGCTACTCAACAAGTCTCACGCATGTTTGACTTTGAAACTGTCGGTGTTTTCTGCTTCCTACAGAGCATTGCATCATTATTTCCTTTAACCTGTTTTTGCTTTTATCTACATTCATTTTGTGCCTTATACTAAAACACTTTTTTTGACCTTTTTTTTCTGAGGTCCATGAGAAGATCAAACAAAATATCTTCAGTATGAGAACATGTCTCTCTGCACATATAAAATACATTTTTAACACATTTTGGTTGTGATTTTTAAATTAAATGTACAGCAGCATAAGATTTGACAATTCTTCTAGTGTGACAGCACAAATAATAAATTCTGCCTCCCTGATACTCAGAAATAAATATCTTAACAACTCTGTAAGCTTCCAAGCAAATATTCGTTATGACTTTGTTGATCCCCTTACTTTGCCTTAAATATCCCTTACACTGTTGTGATTGTTATGAGTCGGCTCTATATTACTGTGGCCCCTAGAGACAAAGCATGTACAAACTCCAAAACACTTACATAACATTTTTGTCATTCTGAAAACCCAACTTACTGGCAAGCTTTTAAAGCCTGAGCTGAGACTCTTGAGCAGCACAACTTGTTCATACCAAAGACATGATGGATGAGTTGCGCTTTGAATGAGAGAACCGTAAACTTATCCAGGCCGTGGAGAATTCATTCCAAAGCACAACAGTGCCCTGGTTTAAACCAGGCTGGATCTCATTGGAGAAGGAACTATTCTGATCAAGCGCATCAGAAAGAAAATATTCTCACTCTTCAGTGGTAATTTGGTGTACGTCAGCATTGTTGTTAATGGTAACCTGAGATAAGATGCATAGGATGAGATGGGCCGCACTGTTGTCTCACAGCAAGAAGGTCCCGAGTTCGATTCCACCATCAGGCTGGGGTCTTTCTGTGTGGTGGTTGTATGTTCTCCCCGTGTTTGCTTGGGTTCTCTCCGCGTACTCTGGCTTCCTCACATTTAAACGATTAAATGTTTACTTTTGGGGCCTCTCCAGCCTGATACAGAACCCCCTAGCAGGGGGATACATAGCTGAACTGCTTATAGAGTCCAGAATCTGAGCAAATTAAAAGTGAAATCCGAAGCACATGTGCTTTATCCGCATAATAATTAATAGACTGACATGTTGCATTTAATTGTTGGAAACAAAAAGAACAAGGCTAGCTCATTTCCACGTGCGCTGTTTTTGTGCTGAGCTAACTAGTGGCTACAAATTAACGCAATATATTTAATAGTTAATGGTTGCTTACTGGGGGCAGGGGCCTGGGAGGAGTTGACAGTATGGTCGGGGTCTGGGACGCTGGGCCATCCCTGCGGCTGCTGGGCCGGGGGCAGTCTGCTTGCCTCCACCCCAGGGAAAAGGGTAACATCTCCTGGGTCAGGGGGCTGATTGCCCCCCCTGAGGGCGGTGATACCTGGACCTGGGAGTATAGAGTACGTTTGGAGAGTGTGAATGGGTGTTCATTACTGTTTCTCTCCACATTGGGCGAGTGCTGAGTATTTGTATTTGTTTGCATGAGGGTGGGAATGTAAGCTTGTGTCTGGTGTGTGTCCGGTTGACTCTCCACCTCCTCCTCTCTGGGAACATCTCAGGCCCCCCCCCCAGGTGTGGAGGCCTGTCTCCACCCACGACACTCCCTGCCGGTGGCTGATACCTTTAGCCGTCGGTGCCTTGGTGGTTGATGTCCGGGACTGGGCGCTCAGGTATGTACCCAGCTCACTCCCAGCAGCTGCTTGGCAGGGCCAGGTCAGGCCCCTTCCAGGGGGTGGGGTTCCCTCGGACCTCTGGAACCTGTGCTCAATCTGCTCTGGCGCAACTGGCTGCGGGCTCGTCACCGCAGCCCCCTGTGGCTTCTGCACCGTAGCTCCTAGGTGACCTCACATCTGGAGCTCTCCTCAGCTCTTTCCGGCGCGGTTGCCTCTCCGGTGGTCCTCTTTGGGCTTTCACACTCTGGTGGGCCTCTGGATGTCTGGGCCTGGGTCCATGCCTGCTTCATGCTTTGGGGGGCAGGGCTATGTCTCCCCACACCCTCTAACAGATCGTTACATGGATAAACCTTTTGAACTCAAGCTTGCTCACAGACAAACTATATCTTCCTTGGCTGCTACCTTAAAGCATATCGTTGACTGTCAGTCTTGCGTGCTGCTCGACAATTTAATATTTAGTATTTAGTGTTACTTACACGTATCTAGGTTGTTGTCTTTGATCTCTGTATTGTGTTGTTCTCTTGTTGTTTGTTTTCTTTTTTCTCCTTGTAACAGGTGATCCAATGGATTTTCTCAGTGTCTTGTCTTACTGTCCTCCTTCACCTCTATTTTTAATTTTCCCTTTCTTTCTTTCTGTCTTTCTTTCTGTCTAATTGTCTGTCCAATTTGTAATAAAATAAAATTAAATAGATCCAATCAAGTGGACCAATATGGCATTACCATATCTTCTCCACTTGAAAAAATTAATCCGTTGGGCATCCTTCGTGGCCTTCAGACAACAATTCTGATTGGTAAATGGCCTGTATTTGTATAGTGCTTTTCTAGTCCCTAAGGACCCCAAAGCGCTTTACACAACCAGTCATCCACCCATTCACACACTGGTGATGGCAAGCT